ATGTGGCCGCGTCGTACATGTAGGTTGGGCAATATTTCACCTGCCGGTACAAAAACAGCGTCGAGGTTCATTGAGTGAACGCAGGACAGCCAGGCGTGGGTGTATCTATACGGCAAATTCGCGTACTAGCAGCTGATACTGATAGGATTGATAGGGTTCAGGAATCGACGTTTGTCACACCGGCCAACACATGGTTGAATGAATAGCTACAGAAAAGGCGAGACTAGAAAACGAGGTGTTGTGCTTGTAAATTTGTGAACTAACTTTTTTTTTACTTGATCAATAGAAGTACAATCGCCATGCAGCAACGTAATGTAAGTCAACAAATAGGCGCATGTTTATTTTCCGCTATTTTCCGCCTGGTCATGTGAAAATTTATTGCGGCCTAAATTTTGTTTTGCAAGGTTCAGTGACAGTGTATACGGGCCGCTGCAGCAGTACAGGCCGAAAATTTGCTATCGCCGAAATGTGTTTTAGCCCTGGGAGGCCGAAGTTTGAATGTGCTGACATTTTGTAGACTTACAGTACCAGCTGTAACCTGATCTACCTACTTGTAGTTGTATATTTGTATTTAGTGTAGGTAAAACCTGGCAAGGCGACCACTCTGATAAGGCAACCACCTGTCCCAGGGGACCACTACAACCAGGACCAAGGGATGCTATCTCCAGTGAAATGACCCTGGATAAGAAGACCACCTGTACACAGCGACTACGTTTCCAAGGACCATTGAGCGGTCGCCTTAGACAGCTGTTTCACTGTATTTAATGGTTGGTGTAGGCCTGTCCAGGAGATCTCTTACTCAGTGAGATTTCATGAATCCTGGAAAGAGTACAAGAGTGCAAAGAACGAAAACAAAGAAAGAAGCAGACAGCAATTGCGCAAGTCAACGTGTTGGTAGGGTACCCTGTGAGAAGGCCTTAGGCCTGTCGGGATTGCCCCATCAAAAATTTGAGTATAATAATATACCATCAGTGTAGTGAGTGTATAGGCGAAATTGCTGTAAGTGGTACTACACCTACAGTCCATTTCACAAAATATAGATGCATGGCATTTTTGAAATATTTCAAATTTGGCTGGAGTTTTTGGAGAATTGTTATCGGAATTTTGCTCAGGTTCTTCCCCCGATTACTCTCATGCAGATTTTGAAGTGATCGGATAGAAAACGCCCAATTTCGCAATTTTTATGGCCAAATTGATCACAGATTTTATGTGGTATTGATGCTGGCCTAACGGTTTATTTTTGAAATCACTCGTCTATATTTTTGAAACGCACTGTAGCTGTTCAGTTTGGTACTGTGTAGGCTATTACTGAAGTACTTCCTCCGCGTCATCGAAATTGTCGCAGTTTGACTAGTGACTTGCCACTTGTTACTGACAACTCCATAAGCTAAACCATTCAACACTTTTTACACAGTATGATAGTCTGAAGACTAGAGTAACGTTCCAGGACAGTTGGGCTGAGAGTTTTCATGCAGAGATGAAGTCCTCGTCGTCGCTGATGTCAATGGACGCAATAAATATCGTTCCGAAATATTTCAAGGAAGGTTGAAAGTTGGTCGCGCCTCATCTCAGACGCTTTGACTTTCTCCACAGGACAAGGGCTGCTATGCTTGTCGTCTGCTAGCTCTGGATGATTTCTACTTCACCCCCAACGAAGCCTAGTAAGAATAAACGATCGTTGCGAGGTCGGTTGATTACCGTCGGCGGAACCACCTCGATCTTGAAATGAACTTTTTTTAGCCGTGGCATGCCCATTTATTTTACCTGTGTGGTCACAGCTCATGCAGGTAAGTGTACCATCATCCAGCGCGCCCTCTTTTTCAGCATCACTCTGTCCCCGGGGAAAATTGCGATTCCGCGGGCGCGTTTTTTTCCGCGTTTTTTGCGATTTTTTTAAAGACCGCGTTTTCCGCGATTTTCCCGCGTTGTTTGAACTTTTTTGTTGCACTACACGTACACACAGTGCACTGTTCGGTCAGCAACGTCTCCTCGTGGCGGCTTTTTACTCAAATATGACGAGTGCTTACACCAGAGACTTGTAACTGATTGATTTCACCACATACTCACTGAAAATTGCCGCACATCAATATTGTTCACCGCATATTTACCGCATATTTACCGCAAATTCACCGCAAATTATGCCATATTATGCCGCGTTTTTCCCCGCGTTTTTTGCGATTTTTTTCCGCAATTTTCCCCGGGGACAGATCACTGGTACGGCACCTGCGCTTGCATCACTAGCACTTCGTGTAGAGTCTACACCAGAGTACGCGGCTCTTGCAGGTAAAATCATGTACTGAGTGTCTCAGCCAGAGCAACACATTTTATCGACGTTGCATGCATTTAGTTTGCTGACCCCTCGATGTTTCTCCGAGCGCTGCTACTTGTTCCACGAAGTCATTCTCACCCCAGCTAAGGTAAAACAGTGATGAGGCTCGAGTGAATGGCCATAAGCACGAGAAATGTGCAGCCTGCAACGCCTGACTGATCTCAGCGAGTTGAAATTACCATCGCAGCGACATCAGCGAAGAAATTGCGTCGAGTTCAAAAATTTCAGATTCCAATAACAGAAAATAGAACTTTGCCGTCACCCTATACTGATGACTATCGCCTATGTCCGATTCCTTGCCTCTGATACGAGTGCTGGTGAGTAAATACCTCGTTTTATGTCAAAAGTCAAACTGCGACAATTTCGATGACGCGGAGGAAGTAGTATGTGAAAGGGTATAGATGTAGCTGCAGAGGAGAGCTGGGGCATGGGTCTGGACGTTCAGGAATAGAATTGAACATAAATTATGGTGAAAAAAGAAGGACAACATGTTACGAGTTATGACTAACTGTCAACCAACGTAACCAGATCTTATACCGTCAGCGAGTGCGACAAAAATGGCACAGAACTGACAAGGAGTACTGAGACATTCGGTGACCTGACACCTAGTTCCAACACTTCTCCAAGGTGCAAACCAACAACCTTCCAACTTGGAAGGCTCAGGTTCGGAAAGGTCCAAGAGGGGAAGGAAAGCGCAACGAAGAAGAGCACGAGCTACGCATCACGGCAACAAAGAATGCCGAAAGTTACGCCGAATGTCTCGGTACTCCTTGTCAGTTTTGTGCCATTTTGTCGCACTCGCTGACTGTAAAAGATCTGGTTACGTTGGTGGACAGTTAGTCATAACTCGTAACATTTTGTCCTTCTTTTTTCACCATAATGTAATTGGCTCACCATCCGAGTTAAACATAAATTGGTCGCAGAACATAGGTGTAGCTTGTAGTAGTTGAGCACTCTCGTGTGGGGTAGTGCCTTTGCTGTTTGCATTACGCAGAGCTCACTGACTTGTCAGTTTGAGCACTCTGACAAGGTACGTTCGGGCCTGGTTTAAATCTGGCTTTGGAAAATTCATTTTTCATTGCTATCAGGTTCGGCCTCATTTTCTCTGTGCTGCGCTGATGAGTCCACAAAGGACGAAACAGTTCTGTCCGCAGATTGAGAGCATAGAATATAATATGTTGAACGATCGCTGCTTGGATGACGACTACGCCATAGCTTAGTGGTAGAGCATGGCTGGCTACAAGCGAGGGTCCCTTGTTCGAGTCCTGGTGGTGACAGTCAATTTTTTCTTCAGACTTTTCCTGTTTGCACCTTTCCCCCAGACTAATGAATAGATGTGGCACAAACCTATACTGTCAGACCTCGCTTATCCGGTCATCTTTTACCCAGATCCCTCGCCATCCGCAAGAAAATCGTCGGTGACCAATTTACAGCATATGCCATGCATACATACAGTGTGTGTGTTCGATTATCTGGTTCCCTCGCCTATTCGGATATTATTATTGTGGAAAACGGATGTGTGCGGTTAAGCGAGGTCTGACTGTACTAGACCTGGTCTCCGGAATAATACAGTCAATATGCCGGAGGTATAATATTATAAGCTATTTATGCACCCGGATTTGTTACTGGGATAATTCCAAATTTCCAGTCTATGGCTTGTAGGTCGCTGGAATGAGCATCGCTACCATCGTGTTGACTTCAGTGAAGGTAAAATATCCCTGACCAAGGGTGAAACAGTCTTGAGGTAAAGTAAAGTTTGCACATCCGCGCTACAACCTGCTCTACACTTACCATGCCTGTAATACCAGGGTGGCAGATGCAGTGCCTACCGGCGAGGGTGAGGTGGTAACTCTCACAACCAATGTCCGACTGTCGTTCACAAATGAATTTTTCAGATCTGTGATTCATGGAGTTAATGTGCCGCTCCATTTCACTGACTGCGTTTTAGCACTGTAGAGAATTGAAGGCACATCCCGAAGGTCCCTGATTCAAATCCGTATAGGAGTTCTGGTCTGGATGATAAAAAGTCAAAAAAATTCTTGAAGCTGTTTCGTTATCGTCTCAAGCAGGATGATCAAAAGAATCATTAGCGAATTTCTTCCTTGCCCCTTTCCAAATTGTAAACAAAGGAATCGTCCACTGGCACAAATGGATGAGCTACACAGCTCGAATCAAATGAATCACCCTCTCCAGCATTCAAACTCATTGTGAAAATGTCTTACTGATGTATCCCAGTATCATCTTTGTAACGTCATAGTTCATACAGTCAAGTGTGGCTACTTGCGTCTGTAAATTGTCACTGGTAGAACCATGGTAGTCCATTGTTGTACACTTGACCTATAGTGCGTTTCAAAAGTCCAGACCTCTGGTTTAAAAAAAAACAAACGTTTGGCCAGCATCTATACCACATAAAATCTGTGATCACTTTGTGCATAACATTTTCGAAATTGGGCATTTGTTATCGAATCGCTTAGAAATTTATACGAGAAAGATTGCGGGAGCTGCCTGAGCAATATTCCGAAGAAATTTCTCGAAACGCTCCAACCTAATTTGAGTTATTCGAAAATGTCTAGAGGCCTATACTTAAGTCTTTTGAAACACACTGTAGTGTATTGAACATCCGTAACATGTAGCACCCAGCCCATTACACCCCCCCCCCCCCCCCCCGATGTAAGTTAGGATTTCGTACAATATTCGAACCACTTCAAGCTATGAATTTTGATGTGAGCATGCCTGTGTGGTGATGTTTACAGTGCACTTTCTATTAGGACTGATGTTGACTGGGATGTATAAGGTGGTATTGGTGTTGGTACTGGTGTTGGTGTTGGTATTGGTGTTGGTGGAAGCAGTGAATGGGATGTCCGGTCTTTGACCAATTTGCTGGTATGCTGATCTACTCACCTCCCACCGCTTTAGGAGCTGCAGCTGCGCCTCGATCCTTGAAGGGTGGTGGCGTTCCTACGGATGCGGAAAACTCGACCTCTAGCCGAGTCTGACGCGAACCGTGATTTTTTTGGTGTTGGTATCAGTGTTGGTGAAGGAAGTCGTTTTTGTACTTTACAGTGTAGTCAGAGCAGTGGCGGTGTATCACTTCTTCCTGAGCGAATACCTCGCCGGATTCTGGCAGGATAATTGTGATGCCACTCACTAACCGTGTAATGTAGCTCTGCTGCAAGTATGTGTCACCTGTATAAGGCTCTTCGGGTTACACTTCCCTTTACCTCTTGCACAGAACATGTCCAGTGGGAATCATTTGATTCTGAACTACGGTAGGTCAACAAATATTTGGCACCTATTTATTTTCGGCTACTTTCGGCCTGATCATATTTGGCCGACGATTTGTTGCAGCCGAAACTTTGTTTTACGAAGGTCAGTGTGACAGTGTAATGAGTGTGTACAGGCAGCAGCAGTGCGAGCCGAAAATTTAGTGCAGCGAAAGTGTGTTCTAGCCCTGGGAGGCCGAAATTTGAATGGGCCGAAAATTTGTCGAGTTACAGTACTCAGTCGACGAACTAAGTTGTTTCATTCTTTGTGGGCTCATCAGTGCAGCGTAGACCAGTCTGTCTATGGCTGTAAAAACGTGGCTTCCTGTTGCCTAAAAAGAACGCAATAATGTAGAGCTACCTAGCCCAATTTTCCTGGAGATGTGAAACTGAGATGCAAAGCCTGAAGTAAAGTGGCATGGGATGAAGTCTTTGCCCATCACAAGTAAGTTGGTGCATTTCTCCATCTAGAAGATTCCAGATTGGAATCTACCATTGATGCTTTGCAAATGAAATCAAGCAAAGGGTCCTTTACGCCTCTTCTATCTCACTCAGCTGACAGATACCCGGCTACCCTCATGACTCAGCTCTACATACTGCGGCAAGGAACCGGATTGTTTACTGGTAGTTTTCCCCTGCTAGAATTGGCTGGAGGCCCTTGAGCTGTGAGTTGGTGGTGAGCTAGGTAGCTGGGATGGCTTGGGGCATTTGTGAATTAGAGGAGGTGTACGTGTACTGGGTCACAAGTAGTCTTGAAGTGGCTGTGTGATTGGCCCGCAGCTTCAGGACAGTCCACCCACTTAAGTTATGCTGCTTTGGATGACCGTGAATTCAAAAATTAAATTTAATCCACTTAGTTGTGTGGTGTAGTGTGGAAGGTAGAGGGTAGAGGGTCATGCCAATGTATGGTGTGTGTGGGTACTGAAGTAGATATGTAGCTATTAAGATCTGTAGGTAAGTTAAGTGGAGTGTCCCCTTTCTCAGGGTAGTCGAGTGTGTTTGTCCGGGAGGATGGTATGACTAGCACAGCTAGGATGTTAGTACCTTTCCTGCTATTGGAATGTGAAGTGTAGTCTGAACTGAAGACTTGTGAGTTGTGTGGAGTGCGCTGCGTCTCTTTCAGCATTGCCACCGGACTAGTGCTGATTATGTAACACCCTTAGAAGAACAGCTGTGTCAAGTACCGCAGCACCATCACCGGCACTGTTAATTATTTTTATGGCTGACATCAAGTTTGACAATGATGTACAGTCTTGACCTGGAGGTCAAAACTAGCTCTGCAATGCTGCATTTCCATTTCGAATACTACATCCTGCACAGTCCACAAGCCAAACTGGTGGACCATAGTTTCATTGTACATAATCTACTTTGAAGTGCATACACCACATGGCCGTACTCCCCACATTGCCATACTCCCCCTTCATAGGGTGTAGACACAATAGTTAGTGAACTCTGGCAGTTCTTGCACAGCACAGGCTCTAGTCTAGAGTTATCAGCTGTTGATTCTGTCAACCCTGGTACCAGTGGGTTGGAGAGTTTGTGTTCTGGGACAGATGTACAGAAGGAGCCTAGGTACGGATTGTTTAGCTCACGTGTGGGTGCGTCGGAGCATGAGTGCTATTATAGCGCGAGTGGTAGTGGCAAAAAAGTACTTGGACAAGTATAGACCAAACCAGTCTATCTTCCCGTATGCAGAGCTCACCGACTTGTCAATTTGAGCACTCTGGCAAGGTACGTTCGGGCCTGGTTTAATCTATTTTTCATTGCTATCAGGTTCGGCCTAATTTTCTTTGCGCTGCACTGATGAGTCCACGAAGAACGAAACAGTTCTGCCCGCAGACAGAGTTCCCGTATGGGTAGATAGACTGGTCTGCCCACGCGGCAAGATAGAGTGACTATATTCTGTCATTGAAGAAGCCAGCAACATCTGTATAGAGTTTCTTGGCGTGTCAGTAGGCTCTGTTCAGGTCTTCTCCGCTTCCAACCACGGCACTTTCTACCTCTACAGTTACTTCGTTGGGTTTTCCGGGTGTCAGCGCCCGTCGTAAGTTCCCTCGGGAAGGGAGACAATGGTTTACTTTTTACTGTGTTGCTTTGCTAATCTTTCCTAGGAACTCTCCAACTCAACTGCAGCGTTTTCTTTGCACTTGTAAACCATTCCATTTTCCAATCTACGACTCGTATTCATTGGTTTGAGGGAACCCCCAATCTGGTGTATTAAATTTTACTTCTTCTTTCGTTGCGTGTTCTAGGAGCTGGTTGCCATGGATACGCCAGACGTAGAACCCGGCAGCGGTGAGGGAGGTGCAGCGGCCGCCGCAGCGTCGAGCGCTGCCACGGTAACGCAGATGGTGAGCGGCGTGGTGCGACGCGTGACCAACCCAACGAAGCGCGACGTGATTGTGCTTGTCGTACGCCTCGTCGTCGTGTTCGTTGTCATTCCGGGTGGTCTGGCGGCCGTCGGTGCCACCGTGGAGACGGTAATCTACAGTGACTTAAACCGACCCAACTTCAACGACGTGTATTTCGTGTATTCGGCGCTGATCGCGGCGCCGCTCATTCTGCTCCGCTGGTACTGGCCCTGGCCGGATCACAACCTGAAACTGGAGCTCTTCTACTTCTGCCTGTTCTCCATCGGCTTTCTCCTAGCAATCATACTGTCCACGGTGGCCGGAGCGGAAGCGTTCCACGTCGGTTCTCACGTGCGGCAGGTCTTCAACGGACCCGGTAATCTCTACATGGACATCCGATCGGAGAGCGACATTCACGCCTGGCTCGGCGATGCGCTGGGTAGTATCTACGGTCGGGATGCGGATGACGCCGGTGTCTCGATGTTCGAGCGAAATCTCGGCGGTCGCGTGTTCCTGCTCGGCCTGATACGACTCGTGCAGTTCCGTAGTCCGAGAACCACATGCTCCCAATCTGTTCGGACCCTCCTGTTTGGGAGTAGTGTGTGCTACGAGTCGCGTTCCACCACGAGCAAACAGGACACCGAGCCGTACACGAGCCTGCAGTACAACTACTCCGACATTCCTTACAGGTCCCTCTCGGGCCGGAAGATCTTCGCCAGTGAGATCAACTTGAAAGGACAGCTGCACAGTTACCCGCTCAGCGGACATTGGGTAGTGTTCTCACCCGATTTCTCGTTGGACAACGTCAGCACCATGCTGAACGCCATGAAGAGCCCCGAGCATCCGTGGCTCGACCATCAAACGTCGATGCTGATGCTGGACGCAACGTTCCTAACCCCCGACACGCCTTCTCCCATCCTGGGTCGTATCACCTACATGATCGAGAGCACCAGCAGCGGATTGTATATACCGAATTCACCGCACGTGAGCTTGAACAACGTGGATGCGGCCGAATTTGCAAGGGAGGACAATGAGCGGTGCATACCTCCACCCGTGCATCGGAATTTCTTTGTTCCGCTATTCCTCGGAGTTGTGCCTACCATCATCTATCTCGTCTTCAGGCATATCCTGCAGGTGCGCGAGAACGCAAGGAAGTACTTCTCGCGCCCGTTCACGTACTCCGAGCTTGGCTGGATTATCTGCGTGTCGCTTTCGATGATCTTCCGGTGGCGTTCTATATCGTTTGAGCACTGCGATCAAGCGCTAGTCGAGCAGGAGATCTACACGACGGGCGAGACTGTTCAGCTTGACTGGTTTGAATTTGCGCCCATTGCTGATTGGTGGTTTGAGTCGCGACGTGTTCTCGGCATGGCCGTCTTCCTCTACCTGTTCACGGCGCTGAAGTTTGTTGTGCGCCTCCCGGCCCTGAGCGGCCTCATCCGAACTCTGCAACTGGCTGGCCGCGAGCTGGCGTCATTCTCGCTCTCCTTCGCCGTGCTCTTCATGGGCTTCGTGAGCATGTTCTACATCGTGTTCAGCATCGAGGCGGAGCAGTTCAGCTCGCTGGCCCGCTGTGTTGGCACGCTGTGGCTGGGGATGCTCGGCGAGCTGGAGATCACCCCGGAGCTGTGGAGGGTCAAGGAATGGGCGCTGCCGATCATCGTCATCTTCACCTTCATCTCCGTGTTCGTCCTGCTCACCGTCATCGTGGCCATTATCAGCGATGCTCACGAGCAGGCCCGCGAGCAGAAGGAGAAAGCGGCCGAGCTGCGGCAGAGAGTACAACGGGCCGTGGAATGGTGGAAGAAGCGACGCGGTTCGCCGGCCAATGACTCCGTCGGACGGCGCAAGAGTCGCCTCTCGATATTCGCCACCTCCGCACTCTCCAAGAGTAAGACATCCAACGGCAGCGCCGGTGGTGGTGGTGGATTTGCAAACGCCGTGACGGCCATGCGGGACGCCGGCGTGAAGAAGCGCCACGTCTCGACCATCACAGAGTCCACGGCTGAAGAGCGCAATGAGGAGGTGCCATCGAATAACAACTCCGCAACGAAGCAGCCTGCAGTGTCCGTGGTAACGGGACGATCTTCGTCACTGGTCGGAGCGGCGCTGAAGGCTAAGGCAGCCGCTGCCCAAAGCAAGAAGACAACGTCATCACCGGCTCCTGTTCAAGATGCTACAGATCATGATGCTACTGACAAGGAGTCCGCAACAATCATCGCAGCACGAGCTGCGGCCATTGCTTTTCACGAGTCCACGTCGTCGAGTAGCCCGGACCTTGATCGGGACAGCGGTGGCGCAGGGAGGACCAATTCGGGCGTGTTTCTCATAAACAGACGAGACTCGGCTGCATCAAGCGACGCGTTTGAGATGGAAAATGTCAAGAAGGTGTGATTTGGCGTATATCCATACTCTGTTTAGACATTATTGTTATCCTATACCCGTCCATGACTTGAGAAATTTCCACTACCTTTCTCCTGCGACTTTCCGATTTTGATTGACATTCAAGTTCATTTAAGGAGTTTATCTCCGAATATTTTGCCAACTTGATTCTCTCTTCCTTTAGCTTTGGCCACTGCCATTATATGGGTCATAGGGTAGTAGTAATATTAGAGTACAAACAACCAGGGCAATTCCGGTCCGGTGTGTATGTGTATGTGTGTGCGTGGAGGGGGGGGGGGGGGGGGGGGGTAGTACTGGGAGGGTATAAGTAGCCGGGGTAATTCCGGTCCGGTGTGTATGTGTAATAATGTGTGTGTGTGTGGGGGGGGGGGGGTACTACCAGGAGATTTTCGTCCGAGGTGTGGCGAATGCTGGGTGCCTAGAGGGTGCAGCAGCCCAGGGTAATGGAGGTCGAGGTGGCCCAAGAGGGGGGGGGGGGGGGGTAAACTGGGAGGGTGGTCCGGGAAAATCTTACAAGCCATGTGCCCACCCACCCTTGTAATATTTCACTGCTGGCAAAGAGATTCTAAAGAAGTTCTCACATTGTCAGCAAATTGTTGGCACAGTTAGCAGGAGAGGGCAGTCAAGAATTCTCCGTTTAGTCCAAATTTGAAAATTGCAAGTACGAATAGTGCAAGCAAGTAAATTTTGGGCCCGATTTTTTGCTGCATGCATAGAGGAAAAAGCTGGGCTTTGTTGACAGAAAGCGTGAAAAAGCTTTGTGCAGTTTGGCAAACATTTGCGCAACAAGGAGTGTGAAAATGCGCGTCAGTGTGCGCATGAAAGTATAGCATATCTAGAACAGATCAAGGGGGATTCCCCGGTTGGTGGTGCAGGTCAAATCATGCAACTGACAAGTGCATTTAATATGTGTAACAGGATGATGGTGAGGCATCACTCTTGCCCTGTGATGGTACGGCATGAGGTGAGCGACATCATTGAAATTAAAAAAAAATGGCACCTTTTGCAGCCAAACGGACCACCATGTGGGCAGGCCAATCGTTTCCTCGGCTGTTAGCCGGGACAATGGGTGCAAGTGTGCGTGAAGAATGAAATCATAGGTGAGAAGAAGCAAAGAAAAGGCACCAGATAAGGTGTGTGTGTGCACGGGAATCGTGCAGATGTAGTGTTAGATGGCGAAGTGGCGGCGGTGGTGGTGATATCCACGCCAGCAGGTCTTACTCGTTCTGTGCACACATTGGTAGAGCAGGGGAGAATATCACCAACAGCAAAGTGATGAAAATATCACCTTGGCTGCACTTTAGCCAATATCACAAATTCTATCAATCAGTACTGTCCTGTATGAACTCGGAGGGCTTTTTCCTCAGCCATTCACACAAGACCGGCTTTTTCCTCAGCCATTCACACAAGACCGGCTTTTTCCTCAGCCATTCACACAAGACCGGCTTTTTCCTCAGCCATTCACACAAGACCAGCTTTTTCCTCAGCCATTCACACAAGACCAGCTTTTTCCTCAGCCATTCACACAAGACCGGCTTTTTCCTCAGCCATTCACACAAGACCGGCTTTTTCCTCAGCCATTCACACAAGACCGGCTTTTTCCTCAGCCATTCACACAAGACCGGCTTTTTCCTCAGCCATTCACACAAGACCGGCTTTTTCCTCAGCCATTCACACAAGACCGGCTTTTTCCTCAGCCATTCACACAAGACCGGCTTTTTCCTCAGCCATTCACACAAGACCAGCTTTTTCCTCAGCCATTCACACAAGACCGGCTTTTTCCTCAGCCATTCACACAAGACCGGCTTTTTCCTCAGCCATTCACACAAGACCGGCTTTTTCCTCAGCCATTCACGCAAGACCGGCTTTTTCCTCAGCCATTCACACAAGACCGGCTTTTTCCTCAGCCATTCACACAAGACCGGCTTTTTCCTCAGCCATTCACACAAGACCGGCTTTTGCCTCAGCCATTCACACAAGACCGGCTTTTTCCTCAGCCATTCACACAAGACCGGCTTTTTCCTCAGCCATTCACACAAGACCAGACCGGCTTTTTCCTCAGCCATTCACACAAGACCGGCTTTTGCCTCAGCCATTCACACAAGACCGGCTTTTGCCTCAGCCATTCACACAAGACCAGCTTTTGCCTCAGCCATTCGCACAAGACCGGCTTTTGCCTCAGCCATTCACACAAGACCGGCTTTTTCCTCAGCCATTCACACAAGACCGGCTTTTTCCTCAGCCATTCACACAAGGCCGGCTTTTTCCTCAGCCATTCACACAAGACCGGCTTTTTCCTCAGCCATTCACACAAGACCGGCTTTTGCCTCAGCCATTCACACAAGACCGGCTTTTGCCTCAGCCATTCACACAAGACCGGCTTTTTCCTCAGCCATTCACACAAGACCGGCTTTTTCCTCAGCCATTCACACAAGACCGGCTTTTTCCTCAGCCATTCACACAAGACCGGCTTTTTCCTCAGCCATTCACACAAGACCGGCTTTTTCCTCAGCCATTCACACAAGACCGGCTTTTTCCTCAGCCATTCACACAAGACCGGCTTTTTCCTCAGCCATTCACACAAGACCGGCTTTTTCCTCAGCCATTCACACAAGACCGGCTTTTTCCTCAGCCATTCACACAAGACCGGCTTTTTCCTCAGCCATTCACACAAGACCGGCTTTTTCCTCAGCCATTCACACAAGACCGGCTTTTGCCTCAGCCATTCACAGAAGACCCGCCGGAACCGGTCCGGTTGGTCGGGTCATCACTGGACAAACCTTTTCCCCACCAACGTATGTCGACTGCTGAGGAGGTTATATGTAGCACTCTGATACCAGTCTGGCCTCGCACAGCAGTCACTGCCCCTTATACCTGTCACACTACAGTCACAAATCCTCTGATACCAGTCACCAGTCACAAACAAGTCACAGAAAGCCCCAAACAAGTCACCAGGTATACCAGCCATACAGTCTCAAAACCTCCAATGCCTCCCCCCCTCCAACACACAAAGCTATACACGGTGACACACGTAATGTGTGCACATAAGGCTGAACTTGAGATTCTGTGACCTTCAGCTTCAGCTGTACCCCCGCTATGTCATATGCAAAGTATGAAAGGCTATGGTGTGGCCGGACCAATCACAACCGCTCCCGGCGGTCCCCGCACATACAGCAATGTGTTTACTCACCACTCGGCCTGCGTGAGGATCGGCATAAGTCGGGTTAGAAATGCCGTGTGAGGTGGCGGAGCCGCCCTCTGATGGAGCGTAGGAAATGTCTTGCTCGTCCTGGGCGTCGCAAACACACACGTTCACGCCACACGCACGCACACACATGCACACACACATGCACACACATAATATAAAAAATCAAGAATGTGTCAGTAACAGCGGCTGGAGCAGTGCAAAATGCACCGGATGAGTTGCCCAGTGAGGGTCCCCATGGACATGAAACTCTAAGTAGGAAAGAGTTGGTGGACATTGAGCTATTGGTTAGCCACTCTCATTGTAATATCAAAATAGGCTTCAATTTGTTTTGACCAAGAGTGGCAGAGATTCTTATCAACCACCACACCACACCGCTGCACCCTCCGGCCGACCTCAACACGTTGCCACAGCACACCATCAGCGGTGCGGTGTGGTGGTTGATAAGAATCTGGACAAGGCCGAATGCTGCTACTTACCCCTCTTGATCAAGAGTGGTATAATTATATGATTAACAAAGATGGAAATATTTACTTTTCCAGACGTTTCGTTGTTCTGAACAACAATATTATGTGCCGCTCTTGGTCTAAAAAGAAGAAAACACTTTTTTGATTTCCTGAGCAGAAACTAAAATTTAATCTAAGTTAATCTTGGTCCTGTGGGCTTTCTATGCAGGAGGATCATGGACAGCAAGTTGCACCTAAATTTGGAGTGGGCAACCAACATGAGAATGTGGATCAAAAATACAGCCCCCTCCTTCCCATTGTCACCCACACACTCTCTCACTCACTCGCTCAGTCAAATGTGCACGCATACACACACGCAGGCACACACATGCGCACACACACCCACACACGTAAACACACAAACACACACTATCTCTCTCTCCAATTATCCCTATCTCACTCTCTCTGGTCTATGGCTAATTTTCACAAACTTACGGCGGTGTACATTCCAGCTGGCATCTTCTTCTCAATCTTCTTTGTGGAGCGCACAATGACAAAGACCACCACCACTCCGATGAGGACAAGAACGATAACAATCGGGACCACAATGGCCACCGTCTGTCACGGGGGAAGAAAACACAGAAGAACAGCCAAGAGCAACGTGTTGAATGTACTGGAAGTCTACACATTTTCGGCCACATTCAAATGTCGGCCTCCCGGGACTAAAACACATTTCGGCCGCATCAAATTCTCGGCCTGTGCTGCTGCCGCCTGTATACACTGTCGCACTGAACCTTGCAAAACAAAATTTCGGCCACGGCAGGTTTTCGGGCCAAACATGACCATGCTGAAAATAGCCGAAAATAAATATGCACCGAATTAACTTACAGTACGGTGGTCTACTCTGGATAAGTGGCGCACGTCATCTTGCAGACAACATTTCGTGACTTGTGGCGAGTGCCTGACTTACACGAACTGTACACAAAAGCACACGACGCTCGGATTTCAAAATTGCGTGTGTCTTATCGCGTGTGAGTGACTTTAAAAAGCGTGGTGACTTATCGCGAGTAGACAGTAATCTGAAGGCTACTACCAAAGGCTGCATTCTCAGGACTCCGGTCTCAGCAGACATGAAACCTAGGCTGACTACCGTAAGCTTCAGCATCAGCCTGACTCAAGGCTTTGCTGATATGAAACTTGGACACACTATTATGGCCACATATTCCACTACCGCAAACAGTAGTGCACCACTCAAAACTGGCATGGCCTGCCTGTGGCAAGTTAGAGGCGCCACACCAAAGCCCTACAAGTATCTGATTCTTCTGGTAGCTAATCAACAGTTATTGGCGCAGCAATGTGCCACCAGTATGGTGGTGTGTTGAAGAGTTGCAACGCTAACGCTGAGACCTCTGGTCGGTCGAGTTGCTCCCTGTACATCGGCACGTCGTCCCTACATCCCCTGTGTCTTGTTTCGTGTTTGTCTCCACATGTCTCTTGGTAGGGCTGTGTTCCCAGTAACTTGACGACGGGCAGTGAACATAATCCACTCATGAGTCTACCATTTCAATGACAAGCTTTTGTGGTCTGAAAGTACATGCAAAAGTCGTGCACTGTGTACATGTAGTCGGTGTACGGTTGACGAAGTCACTCTCACTAAGCTCACACAGAGTCACAGCCTCATACAGGACTCGAGTCACAGAATGGTTCATGTAAACTCAAAGATTGTGAGTGATCTCCTTGCGACCTTGGCTTGGGTGCATACGGGAAACACGTTCCAGTCACTCATACTCGGTCAGTACCGCTGTTCATCCAGCCCTTGCCGCTATCGCGACGCGGGCTGGATTCTGCGGTACTGCCCTCGTACTCGTGCAGGAACCTGTACTTACGTTGCTGCCAGAGGCAGGTGCTGATGTCTCTTCACTTTGCTGTAGATGACGAGAACAGCAGGCAAATAGTGGACACGTACAGTGATCACATGATCAGTACTACCTCCCAAGCACCTGATCACATGATTAGTACTACCTCCCGAGCACCTGATCACATGATCACATGATACCATGATCACAGTCATGATCATACAAGCACATGATCACATGATCAAATGTTGATCACATGATCACATGATCAAATGTTGATCACATGATCATATGGTCAAATGTTGATCACATGATCACATGGTCAAATGTTGATCACATGATCATATGGTCAAATGTTGATCACATGGTCAAATGTTGATCACATGATCACATGGTCAAATGTTGATCACATAAACAAATGATCACGTGATCACATGTTGACGTAATTCCGTGTGATCACATGTTGACGTAATTCCGTGTGATCAAATGCTGACATGATCACTTGATCGCATGTTGACAAAATCCCATGATCACATGATCACATGATCACGTGATCACGTGATGCCCTAGTGGAGTGGTGCCAAGATTCGGAACATGGGAGTACAGCATAATACATATTCGTGTCGGTTCACAGCGCATGGTGTGATTGTTGAAAAAGGATTCCAGATCACTAGCCAATGCATAGCAGTAGAGTGCAAAGGATACCTTAGGCCAAATTGCGGGGTGATAGTTTCTGAACACAAAAGGCCATTAATAAAACTGTCAACGGTACCATTCGGCTGTTGAATACTACAACAAACTGACTTTCCTCCTCCATGCGCTCTAAAGCCGAGCATTGCTTCCCTCGGTAGCCATTACTCACACCAGTAATTTCAAACAACAAAAGGGCCATTATCAGAAGTTCTAGGACAATGCGGGATTGGTTCATTGCAGAGATATTACTATAGTAGGTTGGAATAATATCTTACCACATTCTGGCAGGCTCCATTGAACCTGCTGCAGACAATCTCCGCACTGCTGCAGTTGCATTTGGTCATGCAGTTCGGACCCCACAATCCTTCCAGGCACTCTGCAGGTGGAAAACAGCGAACACAAAACACAACACACCTTCAACAGCAGTAAACGTGAGCGAACTCTTAAACAAGCACACCCACACGCACACACGCAAGTATGCGGGTGCACGAACACACACACACCACACACACACACACCACACACACACACACACACACACACACACACACGCACACACCCACGCACACACACACACACACACACACACACACCCACACCTATACACTAATGTAGGCGACTGGGTAACAGCACATGGAAAGAGATTGCTGGGCAGAGGCATGGCATAAGGCAGCCACAATACCCTCAGGCATGCTTAGAACAGAAAACAGGGAAGAGAAAAAGAACTGAGAGTCAACATAAGAGAAAGGACTCAATGAATCCACCACAACGTGCCCGGTGAATGCAATAAGATCGGCGGTAATCCTAGCTTGTCTACTGCATCATGGCCATGTGCTGGGAGGAAGGGGAAATCTCAGGTTGAATGTGCTATGAGCCCTGCCACGACACTTGGTCGTTTACAGCCACTCCATGGCTGAGTCCTGCTGTGAAATATTTTTTGCACGGGTTTGCATACAGGGTGAGTCAAGAAACACCTTTCCGCTTCCGTGCGACACCACCACCGTATGAACAGGCGTCAGATGCGGCTCCTAAACGGTAAGGGAGGATAGATCAGATCCACCAACCGGAGGCCAAAGGCCGAAATCCCATTTGCTGTTGACTATGATGATTATTGTCATAAAAGGCAGCTTACGTGCAGCACATGTTCCGCCCATCCAGC